TTTTTTTTTTAAAGCTCCATCTATTGGTGGGGAGGTACACCTGCTGGAAACCGGGTCCAGCGTCCCTTACATCATGAAAGTTTACAAGAGGATGGAGGAACAAATTTCAGTGGTCCCTATGCTGGAAACTGGGTCCAACGTCCCATTACTACTGTCTTTTATTCCAGAAAAACGGACTCCTTCCTCTCTATCACCTTTCCAACAGATCCTTCCAATCTGAAACCATTACTGCAAATACTAAAAAAGAATCACACACAAGGTGGGAGAGCCTCTTCAGTCAGAATTCTGACCGCCTGATGGAAAAAACTGAACCTAGCCTCCCCCGTATGAGTCTCTTTCATTCTGGCTAATCCTATGTCCTATCCTCCCCCCTCTAAACCACTCAAGATCCACCAGAGCTAATGAAGAGGGAGGAAAGGGATCAGCAAACAATTCAGGTGCTCTTACGAAAGCCCCTAGTTGAATGTCAAGCCAATTATGAAAGTTGATCTGGTAATCCCGTTTGATCCTCCCTTGCTCCTCTTCCTTCCCTGGCCATATTATTTCCCCCAATTTCTTTTGTTCTGGGGTAGGGGGCCGCCGTTATGTGTGACATCTTTTCTCACCACTGATGTTGAGCTATTGTAGGGTGCATAGGCGGGCTGTTCTTTTTGTGAAGCAATTTGAGGTAAGGGAGGCCAAGGGATCCCATAAGGTGGTTTTCTATTGGCCAAACATTTCGCCACATTTTTGCTCACAGGTGTAGAGTGTTCCTCACCTGTAGCCCGACCCACATAGGGCTACAGAGGAGGACCCCCTGTCCCTTTTTTTTTTTTTTTTTTAAGAAACAGCCCGAGCGGCTACTAGGGGTGCTGATATGATCAGACACCACTAGTAGTGCCGGGATGGCTCCATCTATTGGTGGGGAGCAACACCTGCTGGAAATCGGGTCCAGCGTCCCAGGCTGTAAAGTACATTTAAAATGCAATTACACAGTTTGATGCGCATCATGTCAGGTACGAGAAGAATAAGCCCGTGAAAGGTTAGTAAGCCTGTAATCTGCACTAACTATGGATTGTGATGTAGTTTACAGTGTGAACCCTGTCATCTATGAAAACAATCAAATTGTGGAAGGTTTAGTACAGCTGTGGGGTAGGTGGGCTGAAACCAGCCCAGCATCCTGTCAATCCTTCTGGATCACTGTGCAATTACGCTGAACTCTGTATCATGACTGTGGACCTGTGGTTGTACCTCCAGGACAGACACCTGTCCCGAGTAGCATACTTCTTTGTAGTATTGTGTTCTACCTTATATCCTACCATCTATTTGTGGCACCTGTCCCATTTTTAATCGCTGCTCTTACCACTGTGGTAAGCTCATTCCTTCGGTGGCAACAACAGACAGGTTCCCAACCACTGTCATTGGCCCGTTTTTCAGTCTGTCGCATCATTACGGACTCTGAATCCCTCTCTCTCTCTCTCTCTCTCTCTCTCTCTCTCTCTCTCTCTCTCTCTCTTTTCTTTTTTTTTAAACCTGCTTGCAAGGCCTCTATCCCAGCGGTGGGAAGAGAACGGCCAGGATTGAGGCTACTGAAAAACGGTGGTCAAGGATGGGGTGGGACAGACCACTACTCCTAAGGCTCAGACAGGGGACCCCTGCCAACATAGCTTTGTTGTCTCCCTGCCTCCATCAGAGGGGATGCATGTTGCCCCCCGCCCCAACCATGGTGGTCAAGGATGGGGTGGGCCGCCGGTGGGGTTCCGGCTAACGCAACGACGGAGCATTTTGCCAGTAGCTACGCCTCCCTTTTCATTTTCATCGTCCCCCAGCCCGAACCGAAGAACTGCATTTCTATCCCTTGCTCTTCCCTTTTCCTTTTCACCCCACGTTCCGCGTGTGCTTTCTCCGGCCCACAAGGGCTTGGTGACAGGGAGGCATGGAGAGGAAAAAGAAAACGACAGTTTTGCAAGGACCACGCACACACATTGACGGTCAAGTTCCTCGTTCACATCGTCAACCTGAAGTTCGTCGTTCCCCCGATGTGCGTGCACAGATGGTCGCGATCTTTCCTTCGCACGAGCGCCGCCGATCTGTGCCCAGCGTGAAGTAGAATTGAACGAGACGACCGCCTTTCAACAATTTTTGTGTGACTTGGCGCCAGACACCTCGAAGTTCCTTCCCTCCTTCAACGTCGGTCATGAGGTCGACTGTGAGTGCTTGCATTGCCAGCGGCTATTTCCGTCTGCAGACCGCAACGCTAACCATGACTTGTGTAATGCCGCCGCCATTTCATTTCAAGCGACCGGCAACGACTTCCGTGTTCCTTCGATGTGTCTGTCTGGCTGTCTCTCCGCTCGCCATCGGATTCGCGGGGGCGCCTTCCCGTTCTGCGTGGGCGGCGTTTTGCGCGGTCTGTAGAACCGCAGCCCATCGACTCGGCGGCGCCGGCGGTACCCGTTGCCCCCTCTTCCCACCCAAGCGCGTTTTTTTCGATTCGTGCAAGTGGGACCTCGCCCCAAGCGAGGAGGTCTTGAGCTCTCGCCGGCTCATGACTGCGCCTACCTTAGGCTACCTACAGCAGTACAAATTGGGAGAAGAGACGTGCCGCCGGCAGAGTTGGAGCAAGACACTCGAGGAGAGAGAACAAGCGACAGATAGAATGAAGACAGGTGATGTTCACTGAACCTCGCTCGCGGACGGCGGGTGACGGAAAGAGACAGACGAGGCGCAGAGTAGCTTCGATCTTGACCGTCGAGTCGTCGGCCGGCAATTGGACTAGGGCGAGGGTGATGATGCACTCACCGGCTAGCCTGCGCTCTTCAGCAATGGCGGTCGCAGCGACAGCGACCTCGAATTCTCGTGCTTTTTGGGTGAACACCCTCCGTCTGCGGGATATGTGGATCATCCTTTGGGTATGTGTGCCCTGCTTCCGTCCACTCCCTGCCGGTTGTACCGTCGCCCTTGGGATCGCCGACGTCCACCATCATGGCGATGGCTCATCAGCGCCGCACTCAAAGACGATGATGGGTATGGCGAAGCCCCATGCTCTGGCCGTACATCGAGCAGCTCTCCTTAACTTCCCTCCTCCTCCTCCTCCTCCTCCTGCTCCTACTCCGTCGTCTATTCGTTCTGCACCTGTTATTGCTACTACTGCTACTACGATTACAACGGTCACAACAACTACGACTGTTGTTTCTTGCTCACGAAAGTTGGCCGTCGGTACGGCGGCGACGTTGGGCCGATTAGACACTAGTCTTTACTCGCCCTCCCGAGAGCGATGTCTGCGGCGGGCGATCCAGAGGTACGCGACATTGCAATTCAGAGATAGAACGAGGAGGATGGCGCCTATACTTCTCCGGCTGGCCTTCCACGATTGCGTGACGAGGAGGTCAGGAGGGAGAAAGGGAGGCGGTTGCGACGGGTCGATCTTGCTCGATTCGGAGCTGAGTGCCGAAGCCAACGACGGACTGGTGGGAACCACGCAGGTCATCGATGACATTCG